AAGAATGGAATTGAAGAAAGGAAAAATATGAGTTTGAAAAATATACAATGGTTAGAAGAAATATATAGATAGAATAAAAAAATAGAAACAAAACAAAAGATTTGAAAGAAGCAAACATAAAGAAGAAAGAGAAGAAAATTGAGGAAAGAATAGCAATCAAGAGATAGAAAAGATGTAAGAATAAAGGAAAGATGGAAAATAAACAAAAGGGAAAGAAAAAAAAAGAGAATAAAGTCATTTTCAGAGAGATAGGTAAGAACAAAATGGATGGGTGTATAAGAGGGGGGGAGAAAAATGAATAAAAAAGAATCAAAAGTAGAAAAATAAGAAAAATTTAAAAATAGGAATAAAAAAAAAATGGGAGTGAAAACATAGAATTAAACAAAGTGGAACAAAAAATGGAAAAGGAAGATCGGATTGAATAAAGGAAGGAAGGAAGGAAGGAAAGAAGTGGGAAAAGAAGGAATATGTTAAAAATAAAATGCAAATTATTTGACTGAATGAATAGACAAAGAAAAGTTCCTTTTGGTTACATTTGCTTCTCGTGTTGACTGGTGCAAGACTAATGAGCCATTTCCTAATATCAAGTCATTCCCTTGGGACAGAAACAGTCACAACTCATTAAATCTGGATTTCCCAAAGCTGTAGGGATCAAAAAATGTGTAGAAATTTCTATTTTATTTTGTTTTAATACAAATATCATTTTTTTAAGGAGAATACCACTTCCCTTTATCATATCCATGTGAAATGTTTGGAGCTGTTACTGTTGCTTTTTAAAAATGTTTTTTTTTATTATCTCTTCTGCTAATAAGATTAAGATTGTTTAATCTCGTTATAATTATTAGTACAATAATACTATATTTAGTATTAGAATTACTGCTTAATATTAATATATTATTTTTTATGACTAATTTACTATCATTTCTAAAGTTCTCATTATTTTAAAATCAGTAGCTTCATGTACATTATTAATTATTTAAAATCTTTCATCATTATTGGTTTTAAAAATCTCTTGTGGTCACAGGAAAGATTTATTAAACAAATCCATGTAAACTTTCATTCCTTTGAATGAATATATCTTCTTTTTGGTGTCAAGTAATTTTCAGTATGTGGACAGTTATTGCTCTCCACAGCTTCCCATGTTTTCTCGCTGTAAGTATCTTTTGACCATTTACCATCTTTCTTTGTTTTTGTTCTGCCATCACTTAGGTTACTTGCTGTTTCCACTTTGCAGATCTTGCCTTCAGTATGTCCTGTGGGTGTTAAATCCTCTAGGCTTTCTTTCCTCATTATGTGTCCCAGACACATTGACAATTTTCTTAATCTTTTTTTATAACAGGTTCATTATATAGGTGCATTCTAAAAGAATAGGGTCTACATAATAGGAACATTATAAAAGTTACATTAAAAATTACACAGTGACAAGTGCATTATTAAAGAAAAGGTGTATTATTAAGATTACATAGTTAAATTCCCAGATCAATTCTGTGGACAAGACAGATTGGTATAAAAATGACAATTGGAAAAAATCTTAGATTTAGATTTCATTTTTGCCTTGAAAAAGTCGGAAGACAAAACGCGTCGGCAAAATCTAAGATTTTTTCCAATTGTCAGTTTATACCAAAGATAATAAAGGTATATTATAAAAAGCACATTATAAAGGTGCATTTTAAAAGAAAAAGTACATTCAAAATGTACATTGTGTCAGGTGCATTATAAAGGTAAAGATACATTATAAAATGTTGATTATAGAGGTATAAAAGTAAATGTACATTATAAAGGTAAATGTACATTATAAAAGACACATTGACAATTTGCTTAATCTTTTTTAATCATTTCACCCAAATCAAGATGATAATATCACTAAGTTGCAAGGTGTTACTGGGATTAAAAGAGAATGAGAAGATTAGAAGGTTAAAACACTTATTTTTATGCTTGCCTAAATTTCTTTGTAAACCAGTGTTATTAAATCCAGAAGATGTCCCCAATTTTTTTCTATTGAGGATTCTAGAATACGTGTAACTTATATGAAAATTAAGTTAAAAACAGTTGTTCTTAAAAGCCTTAGCAATATTTCCCCCCAAACAAATTTACAGCCCTATCATGCTAGATGTTACTGCAATTTTTCTATAGCAAGTAGCTTTCTACAGAGCTATGTTGTCAGTCCTACACCCAACTGGTTTTGAATTCAGAGTTGTTTTTCACTTAGACTAGCTGCCAACCACAGTTAAGTCTTCATTGCTATTTAACCCATAGATGGAGGGAAAAGAGATAGATTCTTACTTTTCAAAGTGTATTTGAAAATAAACACAACAGTTCTGGCTGGAATTTGAACTCAACATGTTAATCAACCTTTCCGTGTTGACAGTCATTACTTTACATATAGACCCAGAAAAATATTTGTTAATTACACCAGTTATTTCTGTAAATAAACCCAATTATTTGTTATTTAATAATATTGCTGGGCAATTTTTGTTGCACTCTAAATAAATATTTGTATTTAAAAATACATTGGATCTAAACACAAAGGCTTATTGAATGCCTCATAATATAGAATAATTTGTCCTTGTGGGTGATGAATTATTTTCTACCTAACTTCTATTCCACTGGCAAAATGGTAAAAGTGTCTTGCTGATCTATTGCTATTTCCATGGAAAGTGTTCAGACGAATTACATTCCTTAGTTCCAACTGTTCTAACCATCAAGAGCCACCCTGCTATGCACATTGTCATGAACACCCTCATTCCTTTACATATTTTATTGGTGGGATGTGAGTTCCACTTGAGCAGCTTCTCCCATGAACTGGTGTTTTGTGGAACCGACTCCCAAGAGTATGCTTCTTCAATCACTACAATTTTAACCTGTTTGAATCTATGACCAATCATTATCTTGCCCACATATTCTCATAAACTGTGTCTCTTACTCAGTAAAACTACTCAAATGGCTCTTGGGGCTTTTACAAGGTGAAAAATCTTTAAAAAAAATTTTTTTTATCATTTCACCCCAAGCAATGCAGTAAAGTCACTTAGACACAAGGGGGTTACTGAGTGTGAACGAATAAGAAAAAAAAGAGACATTGTTAAGGAGCAAGTACAATAAAAGACAAGTAATCAATAAGACATTACAAAAAATATTTTAGATGAAAAGAGTGAAATTAGATCAAACTATTTTGTTATCCATATCTGTTTCAATGTCATGTTAGTCATTATTATTTTTATTTACATTAACTTAGTATTACTAACCTTATACATAAGATAGAGGATAGAGTAGAAATAGAGATCCGAATAGTAATAGAGGATAACCTAGGAATGGTGATCAATTAGACGTCACACTACTTTCTACTTATATGTTTTCTCTATGGTCACGTGGTCTACTTAATTCAATAATGGGATCGCCTGTGTTTGCTCACTGGAGATCTATGTTCAAACTCAAGTGTAATAATTTCCCATTGCCTTCTCTACATTTTGGATTTCATTTGATTTCTTTTAGACTAGTTACCTCCCAAAGCTAATGAGTTTAGTCTACTCTAATATTTAACCCATAGCTGGAGGAAGAAGAGATGGATTCATGCCTTTCCCAAGGGCATTTGTGTGAAAGAGAATGCAAAAGACAAGCCTGGAATTCTCCAACACTTATTTCTTCATATGACACAGATATTTCAAATGTCTCTAAGTAAAATTGTTCTTTTTTGTTTTCATTTTCCTTAAAACATCCTCATTGCTCTCATGTTCTGTCCATGGTATTCTCAGCATCTTTCTGTAGAAATATCTCTGCTGTCTCAAGTCTCCTCTTCATCTGTGAGGAAATTATATAACTATTATTGTCCCTATTATCACTGGCTTATGGTAACCAGAGCTTTATCATTATAATTATGCTTAAGGACATCATTATGATATAACAAATATTGTTTTGATAATTGAATCCTTTCTTAATATATGTTTTGCTGTTAACACAATGTTTCAGCTGATTTATTCTTCAGCTTTTGTTAGATATATTCCATGAGAAAAGAAGTAATCTCTTTATTCTCTTCTAGGGAAAGAATAAAAATGGTGACAGAAAATGGCAAATTGTCATTAATATGCCATCTGGACATGATGAATGCTAAAGAATGCATCAAACAAAATATACTGTTAGCAACAGCATGTTGACAAAGAAAAGGTTCAGTGGACCAAATAGTATCTGGTATGTTCATCACTTTTTTTATATTACAAACAATACCATCATAATAATCATTTTCATAATTTCAGTTGTTATTTTTTCTAATTATCTTACAATTAACATCATTAATTATATCAGTGGAATTAGCCTTGTCATCATGTCAGTTATATTAATCATTATCATTTGGGATATCTCAGTGATATTTGGATCTTCTTCGTTATATGCTATGCCCCTTCAGGACATAGGCAATCATGGCTCTCCACAATTTCCTTTCCTTTGTAGTTATCAATAAATTTTGTCTCTTTGTTATCTTTTCTAAACCTTATTCTATGATCCATTTACCCATGCTCACTAGGTAGATTGTGCATTATTTTCCTCTGTCGCTTGCCTTCAATCTGTCTTGTGAGTATCAGATTTTTCAAGCCTTTTTTCCTCATTATGTGCCCTAGAAATTTCAACTATCTTTTCCTGATGTTAAGTCTATGCACCTTTTTTATTTCTATTTTCTCTAAAACTTTGTCATTGCTCACATGTTTGGTCCATGATATTCTGAGCATCCTTCTGTAGAACCACATTTCTGTTGTTTCAAGTCTCTTCTTCATCTTTGAAGAGATTGTCCAGCATTCACTGCCATATAGGAGTACAGATATCACATAACAGTTCAGTACTCTTTTCTTTGTTTCTAAAAAAGTTTTTCTATTTTTTTAATACTCTGCTTAGCTTTTCGAATGCATCTTTGCCCATCCCAATGCATCTTCAGATCTCAGTTTGGATACATGGTCATATCATTAGTCATTATCAGTCAGTAATTGTTATTTATTAACATTATTGAGGCTTATGGTTACATCACCAGTTCCAATATGATCACTAAAGTTAAGCAACACTGAGCCTTGTCAGTACCTAAATGGGTGACCACTTGGGAATATCATGTGCTGTAAATATGCATGTGCAGGTGCTGTAATGGAATAGTTAATTGTAGAGACAAGTTCCAATTCCTATTGGGTTTATTATATTCAGTTATGCATAAATACCCTTGAGAAACTTAAGAATCCATTTCTTATCCCCCAGGTATGGGTTAATTAGTAAGACTTGCATCATTAAACTATTATTATCTAAAAAAAATTCTTACAGTCTAAAAAATATTTTCTGGCTTTAAATAACACACAAGGGGTTGATAATTCATAGAAAACAAATCAATCAATCAATTAAATACTGATTAGCGACACAGGTATGTGTTTTAGATTTATTTACATTCTCTGGAATATAAATGAATGGAAAACACCATGGCCACAAAGTGAGGGTCAGTTTATATATTGATTGATCCTCCACATTATAATTTCTTGTTTACATGCCAAATTATGATTTGGTATGAATCCAGCGCTTCTCCCTCCAGCTATAGGTTAATTAGTAAGACTTGTATCACTAAACCATTATTATCTCAAAAAAATTCTTACAATCTAAAAAATAAATTTTTACCATCTAAAATATATTTTCTGATTAGCACTATATATGAAGGGATGCTGAAAATTTCTCAACACAACCTACTACCCAAAATCTGACCAAAGGACTTCTTTTTCTATATGCCGTATCCCTTCAGGATGCCGGCGATCATGGCTATCCACAATTTCCTGTCCTTTGTAGCTCTCAATAATTTGTGTCCTTTTTTATCTCTTCTAAGTCTTGTTTCACAGTTTATTTTCTCAATCTCACTAACTAGGTTATACATTGTTTTCCTCTACTACTCTTGCCTTCAACCTGTCCTGTGAGTATCAACTTTTCCAATCCCTCTTTCCTCATCAGATACCCTAGAAATTTCAAATATCTCTTACTGGTGTTAAGTATAAGTGTCCTTTTTATTTCCATTATCTCTAAAACTTGATTGATGGTCACTTGTTTGGTTCATCCTATTCTCAGCATCTTTCTGTAGAGCCATATTTCTGTTGCTTCATTTCTTTTCTTCATCTTTGAGGAAATTGTCTAGCATTCACTGCCATATAGGAGGACTGATAATACATAACCTTCTACACATCAGATTTTCCATTTCTAGAAGGGGTTCTTGGTTAGGCTGAGAACTTTTCAGCATCACCTTGTATTATCACTATTATTTTCAGTTTTACTTCATTATCATATTCTCATCATCTTTATTATAATCCACCTTGTTATTGTTATTATAAAAATATTATATTCTGTTGTCAGTTTTTTTATAATTTACTATTGACAATATATATGTAAGCATCATGTTATTATATCACTATGTCATTAACATAACTGTAATCCTCATTATTATTTAGCAACATTATCATCTTTATTATTACATTGCAATTATTGTTTCTTATGATAAAATCATAAGCAATGACTTTTGCATTATTATAATGGATGCAATATTGTTACATCACTGTTTCATTATTATTACTATAATCTTCACTATTTTTATTATTTATCCACATTATCATCTTATTATTATATCAGCATTACAATTGCTTATGATATTATCCTAAGCAGTGATTAGTGCATTATAGAATAGAATCAATAATATGACATCAGTGGCTCATTATCATGATTATAAGCCTCACGATTTTTTTATTATTTATTAACATTCTCATCTTTATTACTCTGTAGCCATTATCATTGCTTCTGATTTCATCAGAAGCAATTATTATTACAGTATTATAATAGAAGCAGTATTATTACATCATAAATTTAATCTATTTTTATTATCAACATTATTGTCCTTATTATTATATTTCCATTATTATTATTATTGATAATATTATAAGCAATATTACTACATCACTGTTTCATTATCATAACTATATCCTTCATCTTTTAAATTATTACATTGACATTATCATTGCTTATAATATTATCAGTATCATTATCACCATTATGATAATGTTCATCATTAACATCATAAGATACTGTCATATTTATTATAATCTGTAAATCATTGACAGCACCATATTTTCCTCAAAACTTTTTCTATTTACTTTGACCATCATCTTGGTCAGCATCATCACCATTGTGAACAAATCATGATCACACACATCATTTCTGTCATCATCATACACAAATGTCTTCTGTAGTCTCGTTATCATGACAGACTGACAGCAAAACAACATTCACCTGTAGCTGGTGCAGATGGATGTGTCATGTAATGGATAAAGAGGTGGCTGAATTGGAAAGAAGCAAGAAGAAGAAACTGAGAGAAAGAGAGACCAGGAGAGACAAAAGAGACACATCAGTGAGAGAGAGAGAGGGAGAGAGAGAGAGAGAGAGAGAGAGAGAGAGAGAGAGAGAGAGTGATTCTTAAATCAAGTGACATCCCAATCCCAACAACCAATATGTCTTTCAACAAAATCTCTTCAATCCACCCTTTAGCAAATCCCACCCACAGATTCTACCTTCATCCACTTTGCTCTCTACCCCTCACCATACTCACTTCTGCATTCAACCAATTAGGACACATCTTACTGTCAACAAATTGTATGGTTAATAATTAGAAGTAAGTGATAGGCAATCAGCTAAGTTTGTTTGCTTACTCATGGAATAGATTCAAAAGTTTTCATACTTTCATTCTTTCTTTTTCTCTTCTATCTCTTCCTTAGTATTCCTTCTCTCTATTCTCCTTCCTTCATTTCTTTCTCATTTGTCTCCTGTCTCTTTCTTATTCTTCTTACTTTCTTTCTTTCTAATCTCCTCTCTCTCTCTCTACTTTCTTTCTTTTTCTTTCTTTCTTTTTCTTTCTTTCTTTCTTTCTTTCTTTCTTTCTTATTCTCCTACCTACCTCCTACTCTCCTTTCTTTCCTTCTTGACATCTGTCTCTTTCATATTCTTCTTACATTCTTTCCTTCTTGACACCTATATCTTTACTACTTTCTTTCTTTCTTTCTTTCTTTCTTTCTTTCTTTCTTTCTTTCTTTCTTTCTTTCTTTCTACTCTATTCTCCTACCTACATCTTACTCTTCTTTCTTTCTTTCTTTCTTTCTTTCTTTCTTTCTTTCTTTCTTTCTTTCTTTATGCTATTATCCTACCTCTTATTCTTCTCTCTTTCTTTCACCGATTTTCTCTAATTTGCAGGCTTCTTCTCCCATAATATTCTGAATTCAATTCATCTTCTTCTACACCCACCACCTCTCTTTCTCTCTCTTTCTCTCTTTTTTTTCTGCATAAAACATTTTTTTCATCCTATTGACAAGTTTATCAATATTTTCCTAATTTACCAGTTTATCAAAATATTTGATTCCATAAAATGTGAAGTTACAATCCATCCAAAATATATGTATTTTATTCTTATATATATGGGGTGTGATGTATACATTGTCATTTAACTTACACAAAAATGAAAACAACACTGACATCTCATTTTAGCAGATATAGTTATCAAAGTTACACAAAAATATCTTTAAATAGTAAAGAGTAAATTTATTCAATAAAATTGCCATTGGCTCCAACCACATCCCCCAGACAACTTCGGAATCTCCTGCAACTTTTCTGGATGGTCTCTTTGTTTAAGTTGTTGAATGCTGCCACAATCCTTGCCTTCAGTTCATCTTTGGTGTTACAAGGAGTTTTGTTGCTCTCTTGCTCAACTATGCCCCACACATAATAATCAAGGGGGTTGCAGTCTGGGGATGTAGGTGGTCAAATATAAGAGGTGATGTGGTCACAGAAATTGTCTAACAGCCATGACTGGGTTCTCCTGCTTGTGTGATATGGTGCAGGGTCCTGTAACCAGACATAGGGCCTTCCAGCAGCCACCCTCTTGATCCAGGGCAGCTCTACCACCTCAACGACCTTGATGTCAGCATCTGTATTTGAGGCCTTATGGGAAGATGAATGGAGGTATAATGTCGCCATCACTAGAGATCACTCCAAAAATCATGATGTTGACTGTCCTCAGATTGACATCCAAACACTCTGAAATGTTTATATTGGAGTTTCCAGCATTAATGACAAGCAGTACAGCATAACATTTCCAAATTTATGGTGGAGTGAATTGCATCAGGTTTTTCTTTTTCTTACAGATGGTGCCCATCTCACCGTACTATATTCTTAAGATGTGCTATATTATGGGATAAAGTGCTCAATATCAGAGATAGAGCGTGTGAACATAGAAATCAACACTTAGAGGCGACAGTCTGTTTCATGCTAGATGCAACTGTCAGGCCATGAGCTTGTGGCCTGATGATTGCATCTAAGTGTTGACTTCTATGTTCACTTTATATTTTTATACATATATATATATATATATATATATATATATATATATGTGTGTGTGTGTGTGTGTGTGTGTGTGTGTGTGTGTGTGTGGTTTATCTAATTCTTGCTTGTCAATATTATTTCATATTCATCACTCAAATTTCCTTCACATTAGCAAAATTATATACTGCCATCTAATTGACATTTTAGGAACAATTTTAATTTTCAAATCAATGTACCTTTAGGACAAGCCTTTTATTAGCTATTAAGTCATATCTTCCTAAAGTCAGTTTAAACTGACACCTTTTTTTACATATAATAGAATATTTTTGAAACATGCTGAAATGCTCACATTTTTGTTGAGATTTACAAATTCTACATTTCATTCAATTTTACAAACCCATCGAAATTTGAATAAGCTGATTTGTTTGAAAAAATACTTTGATAAAAAAACCCTAATTTGCAGTTAAATAATTTCTTTAATTTAACTGAATTTTATAAGCCTTCATAAACAATATTATTTTAATTTGTTTTTGATTGATCAATGTATGGCTGTTTTAAAGGTGGTGATGGATAGATTGGCTCACGGAGATCACAGAATTTCATATATAGTTCGATCCTATAAACAATAATTTTGGGAAGTGAAAATTTTAACTGAAAATTTTAGAGAATTTCCATCTGAAGAAAATACAAACTTTAAGCTAAATGATAATAATATATGTAAAAAAAGAAAGTATC